CGTTCTGCAGCGTGGTGAGCGTCGCGGCGTTCAGCATGTACCGCTCCGACACGTTCGAGTTGCTGGCGATCACCACCAGCAGCGCCAGCATGAGCAGCAGGCCCAGCACGCTCCGGAAGACGCTCGAGACCTTGTCCCGCTGCGCCTCCTTCTCCCGGCACCGCAGGAGGTAGTCCTCGCTGGGCGGATGGGCGAAGCGCAGGTCCCTCGTCCGCTGCCGCTCCTCCAGCACTGCGGGGAAAGCAAAGAGGAAATAAATAAACAACTACTGTACCGCCCGTTCGATGCAAAATAACACTGTTGGTCAATAAAGATAATTCACGCTTTCTCTCAGGCTTTGAAATTTGAATCCCCAACACGTCTCTATAAAATGAAAAAAAGGAAAACAGCTCATAATCGCATGCCGTTCAGGGGAAGGGAAAACGAGCTTTGTTAATTCAGGCCAGACAATATGCTCTCCAATCCACACAACATAAATGCAGCTTACACTTCTCATTGCTCATATCCTCGGTCCTGTTTTTGTAGCCTCGCAGAACGGTCTGGTAGCGGTTCCAGATGGCCACGACCTGGTCCAGGGGCACGGTCACGCAGTCGCTGATGCAACCCCTGCAACCGAGCCACCGGTACATGCACACCTGCCAAATAAAGGGACATGAGCGCCGTGTCGATCGTCTCCGATATCCAAATACACCAGAATTCATTACCCAACCCGATATCCACACGCACACATGCACATGCATTGCATTCTCCTGCCGGATTGCGCAAGGCTTAAGTGCCGGCCGACGGGGTTGTCTCATGTACCTTGTATAATGTGTAAATGACCACGACCAGCGGCTGCATGACGAACATGGAAAAGCACAAGGTCATGTAGATAATGTGAAGCCACACGGCGCAGTAGTCCATTGGCATGCCCGAGCCTCTGACCACGAGCACCATGCAGCACATTGCTGGAAAGAAGGACGAAGTTAGCTAACTAATACCCGCACACTCTCTCTCACTCGCTCACTCACTCACTCACTCTCTCTCTCACGTTTTTATCGTTATATGAAATCGCAATGACTGACACTTGTCATAGCGTCCTGCTCAAGGTCGGGCGCGCGGGCGGCCGCGGACTCACCGGCGAAGAAGCAGCAGACGATCCATCCGACGCACTGGGAGAAGATGAAGGTCAGGCTGGACGCCGCCCGCCCCTCGCCGCCCTCCCCCTCGTCGTCGTCGTCGTCGTCCTCGTCCGCCTCCCAGCCGGCCTCGTCCTCCTGCCGCGCCCGCCCCTTGCACTTGGCCCTCCGCCCCTCGAACAGGATCCTCACGAGGCAGGCGAAGGCGCGCCGCAGCTCCGCCAGGAACTCGAAGATGGTCGGCGAGCACTTCTTGGCGGCGTCGCGCCCGCCGGCCGCGGGGAGGGGCCGCGCCTTGCCCTCCGCGCACCGGGCGGCGGGCTCCGCGGGCCCCAACGCCTCCTCCGGCGGGCCCTCGCTCTGGGCGGCGTTGGGCGTCCGCGATCGCTGCATCACGTGCATGCCGTCCATGTCCTTGTCCTGCAGGAGGCTCAGGTGGGCGTTGGTGAGCTCCACCGTCTGCGCCCACCGGGCCAGCGCCGTCCACGTGCTCGAGTTCGGGTTGTACAGCTCGCTCTCCTCGTCGCTGAGCCCGGCGTCGCTCTCGCCGTCGCCGTCGCCCCTCGGCTGCGGCGCCGCCTCGCTCTCCCTCGTGGCGCGCAGCGTGTCCAGCACAGACTTGTTGTTGTACTCCTTTTCCTCCTGAACGAAGAAAAATAAATAAATAAATACAATGTCACTCCTATATGTTAGAATCTATAACCAATATGTCTCTTCCTTCTGTCCTAACCTTACAGAACAACCTACATGACAATAATAAAAATAAACAAATAAATAAATAAAAAATTCACGACACAAATCATAACAACACTAATGCCTACCATTCCAAACCCCGCGTCCTTACCTACACCACTAAAAAAAAAAAAAAAAAAATCTTATTCACCATGAATTCACCGAACGCCCCCGACCACCCCCTCCCCACGGCATCTCGCGTTACTCACCAATCTATTGCTCATCTTGAACACCATCTCCAGCAGCCATTGCACGGGCAGGAGGGCCATGGCGATGATGCAACCGTAGTACATAGGCTCGATGTGCATGTCCGGGACCATCATGGTGTGTTCGGTGTTGATTCTCTGTGAATGAAATCGACGTGACGTAAATATGACGGGTGGGGAGGGGGGGGGGGATTTGTATTCTGTTTGGATCGATGGAAAAAGATGGGAATTTTGCTTTCTTTCTTTTTCTCGTTTTCTCTCGTTTATCTCTCTCTCTCAATCTCATTCTCTCATTCTCTCTCGCTCTCGCTCTCGCTCTCACTCTCACTCCCTCTCTCCCCCTTCCTTCCTTCTCACCTGCACAACGGCCAGCGATATAGTGCCGAGACACAGACAAACGATCAGACAGATAGTCAGTCGCTGCAGCCTGTAGAACTTGGCTGTGCTGGACGTGGTGAGCAGCGACGTCCACAGCATGTGTTCGCTGGCGTACTGGGGTAGGAAGTGCTCGAAATCCTGCAATGAAAGGGAAATTCGTTTCGTCAAATAGGCACTCAACATCCTTGCAAAAAGTAATATCGCTACGTTAATGTTGAGTTGGATTTTCGCTCGAGGTGACAAAAGCAGAAACAACAACAAAAACAATAACAAAAAAATCAATAACAAAAAAATGAAAATAATAACGAAAGACAACAATAAAAAAAACGAAAATAATAACGAAAGACAACAATAACAAAAACCAAAAACAATAACAAAAACAACAAAAAAATCAGTATATAAAAAACTATAACAAAAACAACAAAAAAATCTACAAATATATAAAAACAATAACCAAAAAAACAATAACAAAAATAACAAAAAAATAAAAAAAATGAATAAAAAACAACAATAACAAAAACAACAAATATAACAAAAAAAAATAACAAAAACAACAACAAAACCCCCACAAAGCATCACGCCGCCCCCTCAGCCTCACCTGGAAGAAGGTGGTCGGGCTCTCCAAGGTGATCTCTCGCTCCACCTTGGCATCTTCCGCCTGCACGGCCAGCCAGCGGTAGCACGGGTAGGCGTACCTCGCCCCCAGCACGAGGTCCACCACGCTCGTCTCGCACACGTACCACCCGGCGCTGCTCCCCCCGCTGTTGTCATGCCATAGCTGCACCTTCAGGATGTCTCCTAGGGGCTCTGCTGTCCTGTTGGGGGGAGGGGGGAGAAGGGAATTGTGGGGTTAGAGGTATTCTCAATCTCTTTCTCTAAATATCTCAATCTCTCTCAGTCTCTTTCTCTCTCAGTCTCTCTCTCTCTCTCTCTCTCTCTCTCTCTCTCTCTCTCTCTCTCTCTCTCTCTCTCTCTCTCTCTCTCTCTCTCTCTCTCTCTCTCTCTCTTTCTTACCTTCTACTACCCTCCCCTCCCTTAACTTCCCTTCCCTTCCCTTTCCTTCCCTCCCTCTCCCTTTCCCCCTTCCTTCCCTCTCCCTTTCCCCCTCCCTCTCCCTCTCCCTTTCCCCCTTCCCTCTCCCTTTCCCCCTTCCTTCCCTCTCTCTTCCCCCCTCCCCTCCCACGCCCTTTCCCCCTCCACTCCCCCTCCCCCTCCCTCTCCCTCCCCTCCCCCCACCCCACCCCATCCAAGAGAATTCCCCGGCAGCGACTCACGTGAGGATGAAGGTAGCAGAGAGCTCCCCGCGTGAACAGTTGCCCGGTTTGCTTCGACTGGAGTTCCCTCGTCTCGCTCATGCTGTGTGTGCCGTGGACGATGGCGTAGACCTGAAGGGAGGAAGGGAGGGGGGTGAGGGGTGAGGAATAATGCTTCTTTTTTTTCTTATTAGGAGTCATAATTTTTTTCATTCTCTCTCTCTCTCTCTCTCTCTCTCTCTCTCTCTCTCTCTCTCTCTCTCTCTCTCTCTCTCTCTCTCTCTCTTCTCTCTCTTTGGTTGCATAGGAAAATAATAAAAGACTATAAATTCAATTTCGTTCCTCTTCTCACGGTTGCATAGGAAATAATAAAAGACTATAAATTCATTTCGTTCCTCTTCCTCACAAAAAAAAAAAAAAAAAAAAACTTTCAGACGTCGTAAACCGTGTCACAAAATAATAATCACATTAATAAAAAAGAAAGATAAAATCAAAATCGAAATCGAAAAAAAAAATACCTTGGACGTGGTGCCGGCATTCCACTGCGTGCCCGTCTTGATGGTGAGCAGATACGCCCACTCGTGTGCCGGGTCGTTGTCCCTCAGCCAGATGTTTCTCCGCTTGAGTCGGTGTCGCTCGGACGTCTGGAGGCCGAGCGCCATCACGAAGTACAGCACGAGGACAAGGACGATGAAGTACAGTGCCATGAAGGTCTCGACTAACATCAGCTCGTTCACGGCGATGGTGCTCTCCTCGCTCAGGATGGGGACGGAGCGGGCGCCGTACGTGCTGTGCGTCGAGTGGCAGCTGGGGGGGAAGGGGGAGAGGGGAGGGAGGGGATGAGAATATGGATCAAGGGAGATTGAGGAAGATATATATATATGCATGTGTGGATAAAATAGGGGGCTGTAAGATGCCCACAGTTCCCTCCTCTCCCTCACTCCTTCCCTCCCCTCCCTTCCCTTCCCTTCCCTTCCCTCCCTCCCCGTTCCCTCACTTCCAACAAGTTACCTACCTGCAGGTGGTCAGGTCCCACGTCGAGAGATTCCCTTCCACAGAGCAGTTCTCCGGCGACCACGAGTTCATGTTCCAGACGAGGCACTGCGACCACCACGCCGCCACCTTGAAGTCCGCGCCCTGGACTGACACGTTCTGACGCGACCTGACGAAGGGGAAACGCGGAATTAAGGACGAGAAGGGGGGGGGGGGGGAGGGGGGGGGAGGGGGGGGGGGGGGGAGGGGGGGGGGGGGGAGGGGGGGGGGGGGGGGAAGGGGGAGAGGGGGGGGAGGGGATGAGAATATGGATCAAGGGAGATTGAGGAAGATATATATATGCATGTGTGGATAAAATTGGGGGGTCTGTTCTAAACGAGAAAAAATTGTATCTAAGGACATACCCTCCTGTAAGATGCCCACAGTTCCCTCCTCTCCTTCCCTAACTCCCTCCCCTCCCCTCCCTTCCCTTCCCTCCTTCCTTTCCCTCCCATCCCTCTCCCATCCCTGTTCGCCCCCCCTTTCCTCCCTCCCCTTCCCTTCCCTTCCCTCCCCACCTCCCTCCCTTCCCTCTTCACTCCCATCCCTGCTCGCTCCCCCCAACCCTCCCCTCCCTTCCCTTCCCTTCCCTTCCCTCCCTCCCCGTTCCCTCACTTCCAACAAGTTACCTACCTGCAGGTGGTCAGGTCCCACGTCGAGAGATTCCCTTCCACAGAGCAGTTCTCCGGCGACCACGAGTTCATGTTCCAGACGAGGCACTGCGACCACCACGCCGCCACCTTGAAGTCCGCGCCCTGGACTGACACGTTCTGACGCGACCTGACGAAGGGGAAACGCGAAATCAAGGACGAGAAGGGGGGGTTGAGGGGGGGGAGGGGGGATTTACTAGTCTCATTGGCTGGGAAACGAGAAGAATGTTTAGATTTTGTTTTATTCTGTTACGTCGTTGCGCCTGCAAACTTTGGGATACATGGAGAAAGCTCAAATAAATAAATATACAAAAAAAAATAAACAAATAAAAAATAATAAGTAAATAAATAAATAAAAAGAAAAATGAGATAAGTAGTTAAATAAATATAAATTTAAAAAGCTGACACCAATTCGCTGACATCAACCCTTTGACATCAATCAGCCCCTCCCCCCCCTTTCGCCCCAATTCTCCCACTGCACCATTGCGTGTGCCAAGAGCATTTTCGCACCGCTGATGGCACTCCCGACGTGGCACTGGCTCTTGACGCAACGAAAAAACAACGAAAACCGAATAACGAAGGGAATAAATCAATCCAAGAAATAAAAAGGTAAAAAGGTGAATGAATAAAAAGGTAAATCAATGAATAAAAAAAAAACGTAAAAAGGGAAATTAATCAAAAGGTAAAAAAGTGAATCAATAAAAAAGTAAAAAGTTAAATGAATCAAAAGGTAAAATAGATGAATAAATAAAAAGTTAAAAGGTAAATGAATAAAAAAGTTAAAAGGTAAATGAATAAAAAAAGGTAAAAAGGCAAATGAATAAAAAGGCAAAAAGGTAAATGAATAAAAAAAAGGTAAAAAGGCAAATGAATAAAAAGAAGGTAAAAAGGTAAATGAATAAAAAGGCAAAAAGGTAAATGAATGAAAAAAGGTAAAAAGGTAAATGAATAAAAAGCTAAAAAGGTGAATAAATAAGAAGGTAAAAAGGTAAATTAATAAAAAGGTAAAATAGAGAGAGAGAAAAAAGGGATAAATGAATTAAAAGGTGAAAGAGACGAATAAAAAAAAATCAATAAAGAAAATTATGAAAAAAATAAATAATTCAATACAAATGGAATAACTAAATAAAAATAAACACAAACAATCAAACAAAAAAAAACACGAATAAGTCAATAAAATATTTAAACACAGCAATAAACAAATACACCATTAAAATAGAAAAATAGTAAATAAATAAACAAAATTTTAAAAATATTATAAAAAAAAATAATAATAAAACGAAAAATAAATAACAAAAAAAGAATAACAATTAAAAATAATAATAATAAAAAAAATAAATAAAAAAATAAATAAGCATATATATATATATATATATATATATATATATATATATATATATATATATATATATACTTTTTTCTTTCTTTATTTATTTTTTTATTTTTTATTTTTTTCCCTCACCAGTTATTCTCGTAGCTGTTCTTGTCCATGATGATGAGCAGCTTGGTCCCCCTGGAGAGCTGGCCGGGCTCGAGGGAGAGCTGCACCTGCGCCGCCTCCATCGTGGCCGAGAGCTCCTCCTTGTACAGGGGCTCCCGCAGGCTCTGCAGGCTCTGGCTGCGGGCGGAAGGGGGGAGGGGGTCAGGGAAGGGTTTGGGCAAGACAGAGATATACACAAACACATACAAGCACGCACACACACGCACGCACGCACACACACAAGCACGCACATACACACGCACGCACACGCACGCACACGCACACGCACGCACACACACACACACACGCACAAATAAATAAATATTGAACAAATATCAGACTCCGTGACAAAAACGTTAATCAAGATAAATCCAATTTGTAAAAAAGAAAAGAAAAATGGAAAAGAAACAAATACATAGCATTCACACACACACACACGCAAAAAAATCGTGATTCTCCGTTGCATCCTTGCAAATCAATGCGGAATGTACAGTATGCAATGTCATGTACCTTTCAACACCAGCTCCAGCCCTCGACTCTCTTCCCAAAACCCGGGGCGCTGCTCTCGTCTCACGCCCACACGCCCACTCACGCCCTTTCCGTGTGTGCGTCTCTCTCTTCCACGCCCACCATACCCGCGCGGTCATATCACTCACTCCCTCGCTATATATTTTTCTGTCATACTCGCCCGTTGTCATATTCCGTGATGTCATGTCACTCCCTTCGTCGCTGTATACTTTTTTGTCATATTCGCCCGTCGTCACATTACTCCTGTCATGTCACTCCCTCCGTCCCTGTACACTTTTCTGTCACACTCGCCCGTCATGTCACTCCCTCCGTCGCTGTGCACTTTTCAGTCACACTCGCCCGTCATGTCACTTCCTCCTCCGCTGTAAACCTTTCTCTGTCATACCCCGCTACAGCATACTTTTCCCCTCATACTTCGAGGGTGCGATTGACTGCCTTAAGGGTGTCGGCTCAACATTGCAAACCCCATTTCTGTGAAGTTTGTGTTCCGTGTTGCACAGAGTAATGATATGTTATTTATAGGTGCTCGTATACTATTAAGGTTTCCGATGACGGTGATTTTACGCAGCCTGACTCTAGGATGCAACGTCCCTGCAGGTCTCGGCAATGTTGCATGATCATCAGCACATACCTTGCAACTACAACGTAATGAATGTCTTCCTGTCTCGAGCATATGGTTAAACGCATACCGTAAACACTTGGAAAACTATTTTCTCTCTCTCTCTCTCTCTCTCTCTCTCTCTCTCTCTCTCTCTCTCTCTCTCTCTCTCTCTTTTTCTCATTCTCTCTCTCTCTCTCTCTCTCTCTCTCTCTCTCTCTCTCTCTCTCTCTCTCTCTCTCTCTCTCTCTCTAATAACTTCGAGTCCCAGAAATGTTTAGTGGATAAAAGCACCTTTAAACGTACGAATCAGGAACACGTGCTTCCACCGCAAGCACAGTACTAAGCACAGAATTATCCCCCCCTCCCCCCCGCGCGATGACGAAATGCACTGTAGTCGTCGTTGATCCATCCCATTAAAGCCCAGATACAGTGAAAGAAAACTACCCATTTCCCCTAAAATGACAGATATTATTTCTTGAGGGAATGATAGTGGTGGTGGTGGGGAGGGGGGGAGGGGGTAGGGTAATTTTTGCTTTCTCCCCTTCCCCCTCTCTCTCTCCCTCTCCCTCTCCCCCTCCCCCTCTCTCTCTCTCTCCCTCTCCCTCTCCCTCTCCCTCTCCCTCTCCCTCTCCCCTTCCTTCCATTCCTCCGCTCTCCTTCGCGGCAGAGAAGCGAAGAGAAATATATATCGGGAGGAAACACGGTCTTCGAAGTCACGTGTCTTCCACTGATTACGTCGTGTGTCCAGTTTTTTTTTTTTTTAAGGAGAGAGAAACAGGAGAGGGAGAGGGAAGGGGAAAGAGGGAGAGGGAGGGGGAAAAGAGGGAGAGGGAGGGGGGAAGAGGGAGAGGGAGGGGGAGAGGGAGGGGGAGGGGGAGAGGTAGAGGGGGAAAGAGAGAGAGAGAGAGAGAGAGAGAGAGAGAGAGAGAGAGAGAGAGAGAGAGAGAGAGAGAGAGAGAGAGAAATCCGGCCTAAAGTTGTCCTGTAGACAAACTTTTCTCTCTCTCTCTCTCTCTCTCTCTCTCTCTCTCTCTCTCTCTCTCTCTCTCTCTCTCTCTCTCTACCTCTACCTCTTTCTCCCTTCTCTGTCAGTCGGTCGTGTCTCCGTCTCTCTCTACCCCTATCTGTTTGTCTGTCTGTCTGTCTATCGCGATTACTCGCGGTTGCACACACATACACTCGCACACAAACACACATCACTTTCCGTCTTCCCCGCTCTCCAGAATCTGTTTCAAGATCTTCTGCCTGGCGATGACACAGTGACCACGAAATGAAGACGCCAGGACTTTAAACGAAAAGATCTATTCCTCATGTTGTCGCTATTCCTCCTCCTCCTCCTCCTTCTTTCTCTCCATCTCCTTTTCTTCTCCTTCTTCTTTTCTTTTCTTTCCTCATTTCTTTTCTTTCCTCTTTTCTTTTCTTTTCTTTTCTTTTCTTTTCTTTTCTTTTTCTTCTTCTCCCTCTCCCTCCCCTTCCACCCCAACCCTCACCCTCCTCCTCGACGACAACGAAAGCGACGTCGATGTTAACGAAGTTGACGAAAACGACGAAGACGAAGACGACGAAGACGACGATGACGACGAAGTTGACGAAGACGACGAAGACGACGATCACGATGACGACGACGATGACGACGACTCGCGCCCAGCCTCCACACACCTGAAACTTTGCTCACCTAATACAGCGAACAAAGGTCCAAAGCAAGTCTCAGGTGGCGGAGGGAGGGCTGGGTTCGGGGGGGGGGGGGGGGTCCCCCGGCTCGGCTCTGCGAAGGAGGGTGGGGGTAGGGGGAGAGGGAGAGGAGTAGGGAGAGAGGGAGAAAGGGAGAGGAGTAGGGAGAGAGGGAGAAAGGGAAAGAGGGGGAGTAGGGAGAGAGGGAGAAAGGGAGAGAGGGAGAGAGGGGGAAAGGGAGAGAGGGGAAGGAGTAGCGAGAGAGGGGGAGAGGGGGAGAGGGAGAGAGGGGAAGAAGTAGGGAGAAAGGGAGGTAGGGAGAGAGGGAGAAAGGTAGAGAGGGAGAAAGGGAGAAAAGGGGAGAGGGGGAGAGGGAGAGAAGGTCAGCACTGACAAAGCAGGTGTCATGTTCTCTCGAGGCAAAGATGGAGGGGGGGGTTGGGGACGCGAAGGGGAAGGAAGGAAGGAAGGAAGGAAGGAAGGAAGGAAGGAAGGAAGGAAGACGAACCGTGGACGATGAGAAACAGCAGCGTGTTTTTTTTCCTTCCTTCTTCGTCCTCTTCCTTTTTTTCCCTTTTTCGTATTTCTATTTGGTTTTGGTTTTCTCGATTTTTGTCCATCCTTTCTCTTTTTCCTTTGTTTAATCTTCCTAATCCTATTTCTCCTCCTCTTCCTCCACCTTCTCCTCCTCCTCCTTCTCCTCTTTCCATCTAAAATTAACGCTATCTACTTACAAAAAATAACAAGGAAGCAGAAGAAGGAGAAGCAGAAAAAGACGAAGAAGAAGAAGAAGACGAAGAAGAAGAAAAATGAATAATAAGAGGACTTCGTTTATCCAGTCGGGACAAAAAAACAAAAACAAAAAACAAAAAAACAAAAAACAAAAAAAAACAAAGAGGATATCTTCATAACACACGATCATAAATCTCCTATTACATGCTACATAATCTTCCTTAATCACACAACACCCCCTCCCCCCCGCCCACCCCAAAAAAATCCAGATGAAAAATAACGAGAGAAAAAAATAATGATAATAATGATAATAATAAACCATTCGTTGCGCACTTTCCTGCCAGTCACCGGAGACGACTGGGTAAAACTGGCAAATTTATGCAAATAGTCGGTCCCCTTTTCTTAGCCTTTCAAAATAATAGATTCCTTGCAAGCTATCTAACTGGAGCCCAAGCAACTGCCGTCCGGGATACTCGATTACTTATAACTTATTCTTATTCTACGCAAGAATTCGTTTTTACTTTGTCCTTTTTTATTTTCTTTTTTCGTTATTTTTTTTCTCTTTTCTTTTTTTTCGTTATCTCTCTTTTTTTTTCTTTTAAATTTCATTTTCTGTTTCTGCTTTCTCTCCTCTTCCTGATAACTTTTTTTTTCTTTCATTTTTTTCTTGCTGTTGTTGTTTTCCTCTTCTCGATTATCCACTATTCTTGTTCCACCATCTCACCCTCCCTCCCCCCCCTCCCCCTCCCTCCCCCTAGGCCCAGGTCGTCCTCCTCCGTGGGTGTTGCATGCAGCTGCAGGTTGCATCCTAAACCCCCTGAAGCTTTGCTCAACGACTCTTAATACATGGCTGGGCAAGGGTCCAGGAGGCTAGGCTACAACCACGTTCTCTCTCTTCTCTCTTCCTCCGCCGCTTCCTCTTCCTCTTCCTCTTCCTCTTCCTCTTCTTCGTCTTCGTCTTCGTCGTCTTCTTCGTTTTCGTTTTCGTTTCCTTCCTTGATTTCTTTTCGGTTTACTCTCGTGGAGGAGGAGGAGGATGGGGGGGTGTAAGGGGGGGATGGAGGAGGTGGGCATGGGAAGGTGTGGGTGGGGTTGGGGGGGAGGGGAGGTAGGATTTTTTTATTTTTTTATTTATCTTCTTATCTCCCACGGCTGTACATTTTCGTCCCTTCTTCCTCCCACCCACCTCGATTTACCTTCCGTTCTCTCTCTCTCTTTCGTCTTTCGTCCTTCGTCGCTTCGGGGCAGACTTACCATATGAGGACGACGGCGGCCACCGGATAGTCCGGGTTGAGGATCCGGACGACCTGCAGGAGGACGTGGAAGGCGAGGGCCGAGTGCTCGTCCTTCACCTCGAATTCGTAGACGCTGAGGGACTGCGGCGAGAGGATGCCCGCCCGCCGGAAGTCGTACTCGGATTCCGTGACCAGTTTGGAGCGGGGGAGCTTCACCTGCAGGGGGGAGGGGGGGGAGAGAGAAAGGAAGACAAGGGGGAGAGGGAGAGGGAGAGAGATGGTTTTAGTTTAACGTTTAGGAGCTCCGATGCCGTCTGTGACATGATATGTCCAAAGAGGGGGGAGGGGGAAACATACTCGAGATAAAACCTACCGTGACGGACTTGAGGATGTCCCTGTTCATGTGGAGGTCAACGCTGACGACCTTGGACACGACGGGGTCGTCCTTGACGTAGTAGGGCGAGCGGTCGTGCTCCAGGCTCTGCACCAGGTGGACGCGGTGGGGCAGGCCACTCGTGTTGAAGGCGAAGAGCACGTCGCTGCTCCAGCGGTTGAGGTGCTCCGTCTCTGCCAGGTAGCCCGTGTACTTGAGGGTCGAGGACGGGTACTCGAGGGGCTGCTCCTCCAGAAACCGCGCCCTGATCTCGCCCTCCATTACCTTCAGCAGCAGCTCCACCAACTCGATGCTGAGGAGGAGCGAGCTGCTGGCCCAGTCGTAGATCTCCGTCTGCTTGTCCAGCACTTCCGACGTCAGCGCGAAGTACTCCTTGGCGGCCTGGGGGGAAAGGGGGGGGGGAGAGCATGAGAAACGCGAGACTTTCTTTCCCTGCTTTCAGGTCCTCATCAGCTGATCGCCTCAAACAACCGACCCACGGCCGGGGCGCGAGCACTCACCTGCGTCCTGATCTCCGGGTTGTAGTTCCAGCCCATCTTCTTCTCGGCGGCGCGCATGGCCTCGATGACGCGCGTGAAGGTCTTGCTCGAGATGTACTCGGTGGCGTCGACGATCATCTCGAGCGCCGTCAGCACCTGCATCACCTCCATCTCGTCCCTGATGGGCAGGCTGGCCACCAGCTCCACCAGGTGGTCCCGCGCGCACGACTTGAGCAGGTTGACCTTGGCCAGGATGCTGGCGCCGCTGTCGTCGGCCGCCGCCACCGACTCGTCCGTGGCCGTCTCCAGGCTGTCCTTGCAGCGCGTCTGGTAGAACAGCAGCGCCACGATGTTGTCGAACACCGTCTGCGACACGTGCGTGGTGTCCAGCAGGTTGAGCTCCCAGGCCAGCGAGCGCACCTCCTGCAGCAGCAGCGGCGGGCTCTCGTTCTCGAGGCGCGAGATCTCCTTGAACAGCGACAGCACGCCGTCCCCGCTCTCGAACCGCGGCTCCACCCGCAGCCCCGTCGTCACCTCCTGGTACTTGGACGCCACGCCCTTGCCGTCCAGCGCCTTCACCGACACGTACATCTTGTGGTCGTTGGCCTCCAGCCCCGACGGCAGCGTGAAGTCGAAGCTGGTGCGCGTACCGTGGTAGAACAGCGTCTTGGGGCCGTAGCGCAGGAAGTGGTAGCTCCACTGCAAGTACAGCGGCCGGTACAGCCCCGACGCCACCCCGCACGACGCCCAGAACCGCGGCCCGCCCCTGCTCGCCACCACCCGGCACGACTTCTGCGGGAGAGCCACGGGCGTCACGGGTCGCCTCCGGAGGGATGGGGGTGATGGTGGTGGTGATGGTGGTGATGATGATGATAACAATATCAACAATAATAATATTCATAATAATGCAGATAAGTATCATAATCATAATGGTGATTATAACAGTGATGATGATGATGATGATGATGATGATGATGATGATGATGATGATGATGATGATGATGATGATGATGATGATGATGATGATAATAATAATAATAATAAAAAGAAGAAAAGAAAAAAAGAAAAAAATGACAAAGAAAAAGAAAAAGAAAAACAAAACAAAACACCTAACACCCTCCATTACCCCACCCCCCTCAAAAAAAAAAAAAAAAAAAAAAAAAAAAAAAAAAACTGAGGGGGGGTATGGACACGCACTCCCTCCTCACCAGCTTGGGCGCGGGCGAGAAATCGATCAGCTGTTGGGCCGTCCCGCTGGAGTTCGTCCTCGGGTTCTGGGTGTGGAGGCTGAGCTTGTACGGGAGGCCGCTGTACAACATGTTTACGTACAGCACCAGCAGCGGCTCCCGAGTTCCCGTCGACGTCATCGAAGTCAGCCAGACGACGTCGGTGAAGCGGAGGTCATCGAGTATGTGGACTTCGGGAGGGCGCCTGGCCAGGGGAGAGAGAAAGGGGTGGGGGGAGAAATGAAATCGGTGGTCGAAATACGTCATTTAAATACTTTACTTATATTATTTTTTTTAGTTTTGTATGATTAATCGGTAGTCAAAATACATTTAAATACTTTACAGATTGTATAATTAACTATTGGGATAAGATAGGTGATATTTATGCTAATAATAATAATTAAGACTAATTTCAATGTAACAACAACAATAAACATCATGCTTTTAGATTTAGTTACACAAACACGACAATATAAACAAAAATCAACAACAATTTCAAATAACAAGCCGGAATATAACATTAAAAAAAATAAATAACACTTCCAATAACCTTAATAAAGATACCCCCACCCCCCCCACCGAAATAAAGTCAAACCGCGCTTTAATGCACACACGCCACCCCCCCCCTCTCCCCTCACTACCCCCTCCCACTACCCCCACCCCCACTACCCCCACCAGCGCTTAAATCGAACCCCCGCGTCCAATATTGTTTATTTAAGGTTCGAATCTCAAAATTCACGGAGCCTCCCGTCCAATGGGCAAAATTTCTACATCACTGAGGGAGGAGGAGGAGGAGGAAAGGAGGGAGGGAGAGAGGGAGAGAGGGAGGGAGGGAGGAGGAAAGGAGGAGGAGGAGGGAGGAAGAAAGGAGGAGGAGGAGGGAGGAGGTAAGGAGGGAGGAGGAGGAAGGAGGAAGAGGAGGGAGGAGGAGGAGGAGTAGGAAAGGAGGGAGGAGGAAAGGAGGAGGAGGAAAGGAGGGAGGAGGAAAGGAGGGAAGAGGAGGAGGAAAGGAGGGAGGAGGAGGAGGTAAGGAGGGAGGAGGAGGAGGAAGAGGAGGGAGGAGGAGGAAAGGAGGGAGGGATGGAGGAGAAGGAAATGAAAGGGGGGAGGAAAGGAGGAGGAGGAGGAGGAGGGGGCGTCGGTGTCATGCGTTCTAACATCGTCGCGGATTCATCATGTTGAAGGAATGACCATGAAGGAAGTAGAGAGGGGGGAGGGGAAAAGAGGGGAAAGGAGAGGTTGAGGTAGAGGGAGGAGGGGGTAGGGAGTGGAAGAGGGGAGGGAGGGAGGGAGAGAGAGAGGGAGAGAGGGAGAGAGGGAGGAGAGAGAGAGAGAGGGGAGAGAGAGAGAGAGGGAGAGAGAGAGAGAGAGGGAGAGGGAGGGAGGGCGAAAGAGAGAAAGAGAGAAAGAGAGAAAGAGAGAGAGAGAGAGAGAGAGAGGAGAGAGAGAGAGAGAGAGAGGGAGGGGAGGGAGGGGGGGGGGGGGGGGGAGGGGGAGGGGGGAGGGGGAGGGAGAGGGAGAGAGAGAGAGAGAGAGGGAGGGAGGGAGAGAGAAGGAATAATCAGACGCTCCGAAGTGTAACCCTTCATGACTCATGACTCCATGACATCAAGCCCAAATTCCTCAAAAATTCTTGCCTAATACACATCCTCCACCCTCCCTGCCCACAAACCCCTAACTTTCCTTGCCTTGCCTTGCCTTCCCTCTCCTCTTCCTCTACCTCTTCCTCTACCTCTCCTCTCTTCCTTCCTCTCCTCTCCTCTTTCTCCTCTTCTCTCCTCACCCCTCCCTTCCTCACCTCTCCCCTCCCCTCCCCTACTCACCCCTCCCCTCCCCTCCTCTACTCACCCCTCCCCTCCCCTCCCCTACTCACCCCTCCCCTCCCCTCCCCACCCTGATTTACCCACGAAACTTCGCCAGCCCGAACAGCAACTTAAGCATTGGCCAGGTGATTGGGGTCATTTTCGCAAGGCATTATTAGCAAACTTCGACCTTAAGTACCCGCACGTTTGTTGGTTTAGCACAAGGGTGAAACTCGCAATGAAATGGTGGAGGGGGGGGGGGGGGATGAGTGTGTGTGTGTGTGTGTGTGTGTGTGTGTGTGTGTGTGTGTGTGTGTGTGTGTGTGTGTGTGTGTGTGTGTGTGTGTGAGAGAGAGAGAGAGAGAGAGAGAATAAGAAAAAGAGACAGAATGAGAAAGGATCCTTTCCCCTTCCACTGCGTAACTCCCTTCTCCTCCTCCCCCCCACTTTTCATTTCCTCTCCCTCTCCCTCTCCTTCTTCCTCTCCCTCTCCCTCCCCCCCCCCTTCCCCCCACTTTCCTGACACGTCATTGCGCCAAAGTTTACCCACCGACGTTGCCATTAAAGTTTCTAGAGCGAATGTGGGAATGGGAGAGAGGAGGGAGGAGGAGGGGAGGAGGAGGGGGAGGAGGAGGAGGAGGAGGAGGAGGAGGAGGAGGAGGAGGAGGAGGAGGAGGAGAAGAAGAAGAAGAAGAAAGCCAGACACACAAATACAAACACAAACAAACTTACACAAAAAAAAAAAAAAAAAAAAAAAAAAAAACGAAGAGATACTCTCCCCCCCCATCCGATCTTTGTTTGTGAGGCATCAGTTCTGGACTTGATAATGGCCGACTTGCAGAGCTGATTGCACGGGCTCGATTGCAGCCGAAGCGAAGGGGAGGAAGGACAAGGGACGAGAAGAGAGACGGGAGGAAGAGGAAGAGGAGGAGGAGGAAGGGCGAGGGAGGAAGAGGAGGAAGAGGAACAGGAGAGGGGGGAGGGGAGGGGGCAGAGGAAGGGAAAGGGGGGAAGGGAGGGGGAGGAGGAAGGGAGAGGGGAAGAAAAGCAAAAGAAGGAGAAAGAGAGGAGAGCAACAGAAAAAAATAAAAAAGAAAAGGAGGAAGAAGGAAGAAAAGAAGAAGAACTGGGATGACAAAGAGCAGTTTACCGAAACACATCTTAATTTTACGAAAACGACGGTGATAACATTGATAATGCCAAAATATAACCCGGGGAAAAATATGCAAAATCCCCACTGTCTTCCTTCCTCCTCGTCGCCAGGAAGAGGCTCTATGAAATCAGGAAGAGAAATTCTGCAATGAGGAGGAAGGAGGGAGAGAGGAGAGGGAGGAGAGGGAGGGAGAAGGAGGAATAAGGAAAATGAGGCAGAAAAAAGGAGGAGGAGGAGGAGGAGGAGGAGGAGGAGCTAGAGAAAGGAGAAGGAGAAGATGGGCGGAGAAGAAGATTAAGATTAAGAAAAAGAAGAAGATGATGAAAAAGAAGAAAAAGAAGAAAAAGAAGAAGAAGAAGAAGAAGAAGAAAAAGAAAAAACGAAAAAAAAGAAAAAGAAAAAAGAATATGAAAACGAAAAAAAAAAAATGAAAAAAAGAAAGAAGAAAGAAGGAAGAAGAAAATAAGCAAAGAAGGACGTTCCCGAGCGGAGAAAATCAGTCCGAGCTGCACGGAGTTCGGGGGAAAAGTTAGGACACGGAGACAGATAATGAAGAAGGCGCAAAGAGACACGTGAGGGAGGGGAGGGAGGCAGAGAGGGAGGGAGGGGAGGAGGGAAGGAGGGAGGGAGGGAGGGAGAGATAGGAGGGGAGGGAGGGAGAGATAGGAGGGGAGGGAGGGAAGAAGGGAGGGAGGGAGGGGGGTAGGGAGGGAGGGAAGGAGGGAGGGAGGGAGGGAGGGAGGGATGGAGGGAGGGAGAGATAGGAGGGGAGGGAGGGATGTAGGGAGACAGAGGGGGAGATAGGGAGGAAGGGTGGAAAGAAGGTAGGGAGGGAGGCAAGGAAAATAGGGGGGGGGGGGGGAGAAGAAGGATGGGTGATGAGGATGAGGACGATAATGACGATAATAAAGATAATAAACACTAACGGTAGAGGCAGTAACAAAAAAAAGAAACAAAAAACATTCAAACGACCTGATCTTAGTGTGCGCCTACCTCCCCCCCCCCCCACACCCACTCCTTCTCCCTTCCCCCCCACACACCCACTCCTTCACCCCCCCCCCCCGCGCCTCGCTCACTACAATCCCCAAGTGTAACAGCGGAAGAGCTAACTCACTCATATTGCAACAACCACTGTGTCTGAGACTTATATAAAAAAAGGGGGGGGGGGGGGGGAAGAAACCAAGAGGTTTTTAAAAAGTAAAAAAAAAAAAAAAAAAAAAAAAACTTTATCCATCGCCCATTGTCTAAGGAGAGAGGGGAATGGAGGGGGAGGAGGAGGGGGGAGAGGGGAGGGGGAGGGAAAGAAGGGGAAGGAAAAGAGGAGGAGGGAAGAAAAAGAAGAGGAAGAGGAGGAAGAAGAAGAAGAAGAAGAGGGAAGAGGGGAAGAGGAGGAGAGGAAAAGGAGACGGAGGAGAGAGGAGGAGGAGGAGGATAAGACGACCGATGGGAAGTGGATGGAAAGGGGGGGGGGGGGAAGAAACCAAGAGGTTTTTTTTAAAAAGTAAAAAAAAAAAAAAACTTTATCCATCGACCATTGTCTAAGGAAGAGAGGGATGGAGGGGGTGAAGGGGAGGGGGAGGGGGGAGGGAGGGAAGAGAGAGGAGAGGAGGAAGAGGAGGAGAGGAGGAGGAGGAGGGGGAAGAAGAGAGGAGGAGGCGGGGGGGGGGAAGAGAAGCGGAGGAGGAAAAGGAGAGGTGGAGGAGGAGGAGGAGGAGGAAAAGGAGGACGAGACCGAGGGAAGGGATTGGAAATTGGGGGGGGGGGGGGGGGCGTGCGGGGAGGGTCGACACGTGGGACGCCGTGTGTTTTCTCTTATATAATTCAGGTCTTTTCCACAGACGGGTATCCCCCCCCCCCACGCTCGCTTTCCCCTCCCCCCTCCCCCTCTCCCCTCCCACCTACCCCCTCTTTTCCCTCGCCTCCGCTTGCTTCCAATCTCCTCCTCCTCCTCGTCCTCCTATTCTTCCTTATTCTTCTTCCTTCTCTCCCCTTCGTCTCTTTTCTTCCTTCTCCCCCTCCTTACCCCTCCCCCCCACACAAGTTCATCCAACACGCGCAAACTCTTTCCCCTTCCTTCCCCCCCCCGTCCCCCCTTCCCCCCCTTCCCCTTTCTCCCTCTCCCTCTCCCTCTATCCCTCCCCCCTCCCCCCCGGGCACGCACACACAAAAGGGAGGCAAATAGGGATGATAATGAGCTCATGAATAACTGAAATTCACCCTTAAGGGAGGTAAGACATTCACTGAGGCCGG